TTTATTTGACAAGCGAAGGGGTGATGTAATGCCTCCCCAGGTGTCGACCCTTATATCTCTAGCACCGGAGCGCTGACTGAACTGTCACTGAAGTAAAACACTATAAATTATTCTGAAACAAACCAGGCTGCAATACCCGAAAGGACAAAAAGGACACTTCAGGACACTGTGTGAAAAACAGAACAGAAGCTTTGGCATGGTAAACCCTTTGTTAGCTTTTTTTTTGTTGCCAACTGCAATCTTAAAACCTCAGAGGAGGTTAGAAAAGATTATAAGTATGTACACTGCAAAGCCACAAGTGCCGTCTCCCTGTCCATCAAAGGCTGCCATCACAGCATCGTCCACTGTCCCTGATCACTGGGACAAATCTAAAAAAGGCAGGTGATAGCCATCGCTTGTCCCTCTGCTCTCTCTCCCCGGATGAATGTGAGCGACTGTGGGAATGGGAAGCTTTTTCTTTATCAGCAGCATTATGGATGAACATCTGGCCTGCTGGTGGGAGGGGGATGAAGGATAAAGACACCAACAGGGGCAAAGGGGCCACGAGAGGCCAAAGGGGGCCCATGTGGGGGCCTTGAAGGGCCACAACAAGGCCACAGATTCAGAGTCAGCAGGGAACAAAGGGTGGCCAGGAGAAAGACTGAAGTGTATGAATTCATCTTTGAAGAGGTCCGCTGGCTGTACACACTGCAATCGGAGATGCACGGACAATCAATTAAAACATAATTAACAACTAAACCTTTACATCCACTAAAGAGTAAAGTTACACAACTCAAATGGCATGACAAGAAGTTAAACAGGGATCCTAGACATGTATGAGCGGTGCACTTCCTCTGAATCTCACATCTTGTTTCACTAAGTAACTTATCTGAGGAGTTTATCTCTCCCACACAGAAAAGGAGATCTGGCATGAAAATGGAAATCGAGTAGGAGTGGAGGTCATCTACATTAGCGCTAATCGTAAACAAAATCTTAAATATCTGAGGATTTTGATGTCGTGTTTACATATTCACTCACTCTGGAGAATATTTATCGCACAGATGACTGATAGTGACTCATCGGTGACTCAACACTACCTTTAGCATCAGCAGATTGGGAAAGCTGTGACCCTTAACGACGTTTGGGGAAAAAAAAAAAAAAAAAAAAACCATAACAAAAGAGCGTTTCCCAGAACAGGTGACACTTACCTGTGAAAAGGATTGACAAGTTTGTGCAAGTGACAAAGCGGGATGGTGTTTCAAGGTTGAGTAAGAGGCAAGGTGTGGGAGCCAGGAATATAATGCGGTGACTGCACCGACTTGCAACTGATGTACAGTACCTGCAATCAGGGAAAAACAACTCGCTCTTGGCAAACGTCGGCATTTCCCACAAAAAAAGACAAAAGACGGATTGCCAGCGGGCCTCTCACACGGGAGTTTGCCTAATACTGTATAAAGGCCACAGTCTGAATCTAAATGAGTCACTTTAATGGGTGATATAATATGTGAAGGCTCAGGGCATCTGACAAAGTGGGTCATACTGCGTTTCCCAATGGGAGGGCAAACCGAAAGGCAAACCAACCTGCCTTCCCGCCCACAACTTTCATTCTGTGTTTGCAATAGCGCATTAGGGTGTGTGTGCAGGATCTCCAGTTCATTTCAACAGCATGCTTATTGCTGGGCGTGTCCATAAAACCTCTGTGCTATGAAGACAATCAGAATGTATGCTGCAGTGAACTGACATGAGCCCGTGGCTGAAACACAATCCTGTGACGTTAAATGAGAATTAATAAAATGGCTGCTCGTTCACGCTGCAGCGCCATTGTTTACCAAATCCAGACCCATTTAGCATGAGGGTGTGATATAGTGTCGAGTGGCTTCCCAGCATTTGTCGGTGCCTTGGCCGATTAGCACAACAAGGGGATCGCTTGTGTTGCGTCTGCGCTGATGTGGATTCATTTTAAAACTTTTCAGCAAGGAGAAAGAAACACAGAGCCTTAAAAATATGGTTGAAAATCATAATATAAGGATTTTTTTTGGGAAAGTCTGAGGTGTGACTGTCATGTGATCCGCTATAAAGCAACAGCTAAAGCCGCTTTTTGCCTCCTCAAAGGACAATCACCTTACTGCCATTTTGGCTGTTTGTTGAGAACGCCAGACTGTTAAAGCCTTCCACCCACACTAATGAAAACACTAGTGTGGGAGGAAAGCTTTTCAATATTAAAGCGGTCCTCTCATATTATTCTGCATTGGTGTGGAAAAAGGACTATCAATATCTTTTCCTTCAAATAAATCACGACATATTTATCTGTCCACTGTGTTGTTGTACATGGCCAACATGTTTGTAACTGTAATATAGAGGGATACGCACCACTGCATCCTACAAAATAAACCTTCTTCGAGTATTAACTCAGCCGAGAGGCCTGTGAAGTCACTTGCATTCCTGCATTGATCAAACCCACTAGTTGGACGTGAAATCAAGCCACACAGAATACAGACTGATTAGCTTCTCTGTCTCTACATCTGGAAAGACCCAAAACAGCCCTCCGAATATGCGAGACATTTCCGTTAGATTTATCTCCAAGACATGGTTTATGTTCAGCTCAAGGTCTTAGACTGTGTTAGACCATAAATTGTTGCTGCGGTTAGTGAAGGAAAAAAAAAAAAAGAAAAAGAAAAAGAAAAAATCTGCGCTGAATTTGGCAGCTAACAAATGACTGTAGAGAAATTCTTAGTTCAAAGCTGCGTCTGTGTTCAAATTTGTCTCGTGTTGCAAAACTGCACATTGACATTGAGCATGTCATCAGGATATCAGAGAGCTGCAGACAGATTGCTGCAATTTCACCTAATTTAGAGTAGAATCTGCTGTAAATACTTCATCGAGACAGCGGATGAGAATGGAGAGGTGAAATTACCGACATAGAATCCCTTTGCTATGCTGTGAAAAGTTTAGAGCGAGCTAATCGACTCCCTCTCAGGATCCACAAAAATCATGATCTTAACAGAGAACATTGTCTACGTGGTGAGATTTACTCTGTCACACAGGTGTCATGGGCAAGCTAAACCACATCATCTTTTCCATATGTCTACATGCCTTCAGAGCAAACGTAACCCTCCTGAAATCACTGTGCGGCTGATCCTCTCAGTGATTCATTGCTTGGATAAGGTTGACTAAACTTCCCTCTCATATCCAGCCGTCCGCTCCACCAGTGTCTAATGGCTATAACATTTACAATCACATTTTTGCCACGTACTCACAAAGAAGCAAAGGGCACAAAAGCTGCCGTCTGATGATTATTCACAGAGTTCTTTTTTTGAAATATCCTGCTCACTAGTAATGAGTAACTGGGAATTATTCCTCCAAAAAGTGCATTAACCTGTGCCGTGCTCATCCACCTTTAACTGTGTGGTATTGCTACAACTGTGTTTAATGCTGCTGTTAAAACACTCTTCTTCCCACATGCGTTTGTCTGAATTGTATATTCATGGCAGCGTGAAGTGACAGCTCATCCAACTTTCCATAAATCTTGGAGATACAGCTCGAGAGTTGAATGAAAACCACATGCAGGAGGGAAAAGGAGACAGAGAGGGGACGGAGGGAGAAAGAAAGAGACACAGAGAGTAAAGAGGTGGGGGGGGAGGTGGGACTGAGGCAAGAAAGGCTGACCTACAACTGGAACAGATAAATCAGGCAGCGGAAAAGTAAAGTGATCTAAGAGGTTCTGTTGGCTTTATTCAAACAAACAAAACCATATGTGCAGATGTATGTGTGGGTGCGCGCACGTGTGCATGGGGATGCGGCGACTCGGGGCGCCTGCATGAACCAAGACCGGCCTTCTCTCTGCCTGCAGATCAGTGTACGTCTCTTTTCTGTCGGTGTGTCACCAATGATTGGGGGCGACGGCCTCTTCTCTTTCAACTCTAAATTAGCTGTTTTGGTTAGTGAACCAGACGTGCAGATCAAAAAGGTCAGACATGCCCACTTAATCCTGGTAAATCTCCCCCTTCACATCTCGCCAGCCTGTCAGCTTCTGTGTGACAGCAACCATCACAGACACATGCCTTTGCTCTGTGCGCCTCTGAGAGTCGTCCCCCCCCCTTATGCAAAGCAGTTGTAATTTTCCTTCCAGCACTGAAATTTTATGTGTCTCCGAGGAGTCATTGTCACAAGTGGAACAGTGTCATCTTTCTAAAAAAAAATCATTTCTGCAGTGGTGGTTAAGACTAGGACACATGATCTTCCCTTCTACTTTTAGAAGAATGCTAAATATGGCAGCTTATGATCAGCTCTGGACTGAACCCGCACGAGCTGCGGGGGCTTTAAGGCCGCCAGGGTCCATGGGCATCCACATCTGAGAAGCAGCAGCTGTCTTGACCTTTGTGAGACTTGCGATGGAAAAAGATGAATGAAACTTTCTATTTGAGCTTATGTGTGAGTTACAGTAGCTGCTCCAGAGGGGGTTTGGGATTCAGGGGTGATTTTCTTTGAGCTTCAGGAGAAGTGACCCTGCATACTTGTTCTGGGGGCAGGAACCAAGAGGGCCTTGGAGCTAATTGATTTCAGCTTTTAAGGGCTATCAGGAGTTTGATCTCATGGGAAAAGGTGGGAAAAGGCATCAAGGAGAAGCAGATATTTACTCTTATTCACCACATGTTGTCCTTGAGTGAAATTCCAATATGGTCTAAATCAAACCAGGGTTTCCCAAAGTGAAGATCGGGGCCCATCTTGGAGTAGTTTCCAGGTCAAGGAACAGTTTGATTAAGCATGTCTGCATTTACCTCCTTGAGTGCAGCTTAAATACACTATTCAGACTTCAGTTCTTATTTTGGAGACCACAGATGGGCCACAGACTTTATGTTAGGAACCCAGAAGTTCTGGTTCAGGGTAAAATTAAGAGATATCCTACCATTTCAATACCCAAAATGTCACTCAGGTGTCAGAATGCCCAAAGCAAAACGTCCCCTTCCTTCCTGCACAACAGCGTGTAGTTAAAGTGTTGTTTTTCCAGGACCACCACTCACCTGTTTGAAGTCCGCCACAAAAGTGACGAGCGTCCCATCTCCCTGCTTGAACTCGAGCGATATCGAGTCTCTCTCGCTGTCCGCCTCCAAAACCTCCTCGGTCACCAGTCCGTCGGAGAGCCGGACCCGGACCCGCAGCTCCGAACCGAGTCCCGCGGCGACCACCAGCACCAGGGCGCACAGACGGGTCAGTATCCGAACCGAAGCCGCAGAGACGCAACTGGCAAACATCCCCAAAGACGCAAAACTGAACCCGAAAGAGGAAAAAAATCGAGGCGAAATCCGAAGATCTGCGCTCATATCCCCCTTAACTGTGCTCTTGGATCGTGCGTAAAGTCTTTTCCTTCATATTCAAAGTGGGGTTATAGCTTAAAGCCCGGGTCACTGTTCCATATGGTTCCTCTGTGTGCCAATACTTTCCCCCAGATTTACAAACACCAGTCATGAAAATCAGACGACAATCACCCCCCCTCCTTTTTTTAGAAATCCCTGCTTTTCACTTCTGGGAGCCCACTTCACTTCCCATTGAAAGTCTCTCGCTCCGGTGTTGTTGATAAGATCATGCGCAATTCAGTTTCCCTCCGCACCGCAGCCCGATGATCGCACGTTGCTTCTCATTCTGCTTTGTGTTGATATTCCCGTCTTCTTCTCCTTTTTTCCCCCCTTCTCTCTCTCTCTCACTCACTCACGCACTCTCTCTCTCCTTCTGAAATCCGTGCAGTCCCGTCACTTCCTATCCGTCGGTATCCCACCGCTCGCTTGGCCTCCAAACTTTCTGCGGTGTGTGAGTGAGTGAGTGCAGTGATGGTAGTAAACTCTTAAAGCCACACCACCCTCGGAAAGAACTCTGCCCATCCCCCTAAAGGCCTCATGTGATCCTTCTGCACTCCGGCAAGTAGGCTAATAATACCCCCCAACAATTATAACAAAGGTGTTGTTAGGATTTGCAAATCATAGCTTTTGTGGATGTTGTTCTTGTCATGTAGGGATAAATAAAGCACATTGGCAAACTATATTTTACAGCTGCTGCTGATCAAAAAGCAAACAATAAGTAGCAGGTAAAACAAAACCCCAACTTGTGTCTTTTTGGAAAACATTAATTAAAGATTTTACTCCTGTCGCAGATGTTTTCCTAAGTTTATAGGCATTTTAAAATCAAATTTGACAAGATAGAAGCAATTGATTTATTGCACAAATGTATTGTCTTATAGGGGCAATGCTAGATAAATGAATCATCTCAGCTTCTTGTCAAGTAAAGCATGACTGTGGCTGATTTGCATCACAAATGTGAGACTATTTGTGTGACAATTTACGCTACAGTCTGCTGCCTCCAGCCTAATGAGGAAAACAAAAGAGGAAGTTCTCTTAATCTGCATTTTTTCCCTGTAACTTCTGTGGTCTACTCTCAGGGAAACAATGGTTCTTCAGAAGGTTTTCTAGTTCATCACAGTTCCAAACAAAGATGTTTCTTCACACACTTTATGTGGTTCTTAAAAACATGAAAGTTTCTTTAGTTATTTTATACTGGTGGCAGGTTATAGCATGAAATGAGAGCTGCAACTAGTCATATATATATATATATATCATAGATTAATCACTTGGTCTGCATTAAATCACAAAACAGCAAGAAATAACCATCACAGTTTCCTAAATTTCATGCTAGCATCTTGCAATATGTTGTTCTGTGTGACTAACAGTCAAATGACTTTGTGTTTCATGTATTTTTGGCTTAAAAATGACTTAAACAAGTGATATAATTAAAGTAAAACCAGGTGGATCTTCTTTAAAGAACCTACTTTTGTTTAAGTTATCTGGAGCACCAGGTATTCTGCCTAAAATAACCATTTTTGATGTTTCTTTGCAGTACCTTTGGGGTTGTTCTTTAAATAACCTCTTGTTTAATGTTCCTGTGTGGAACCACACATGTTTCTTCTACAACAACACTGCACAAAACCATTATTTTTGGTTCCATTTACCACCTTCTTTTTTTCCCGAGTGGTTTTAAAAACAAAAGTTGTACAACTAAATTTTTTATGAGCTTGTTTTTCATCTGTTTGCCTTATGTCACCCTTTGTATTTATGAATTTACCTTCGATACCTTCTGATATAAATCTATCCGGTAATTATCGCCTTTGATGACAACATACAGTTGATTCACAGGTTTCAGTTGAGGGAAAAGAAAACAGTCAGTCCTTTATTCTCCCCGTGCATGTTATTTCATTTTATGATGTCCTCAAGGGAAAGCTTGACAAACCTGAGGTGAAAGCTGCCAAACAGATAAAAGCTACCTATCTGACGGGAGATCTCAGAGCCACATGAAATGGTAGATTACCACTATATGCATGTGTGTGTGTGGGTGGGTGTTACAGAAAGCGTGGGTGACATCCCTGCATTATAAACCACCTGAGCAGTTGTGTTATCTCTATTGGCTTCTGCATGGCATTCTGGGTGGGCCGAGCTCAGGGTTGGTGACCCCAAATGTGGCAGCACTCTAGCGCTGCTGAGACCAAGAGGTGGTCGCTCCAGTGAAGGGGAAAACAAACAGAGAGGCCATAAAGCAGAGCAAATATTGTTAGGTGGGCCTGCAAACCAAACTGGGCCCTAGACCCTGATAGACCGAAGGAGTGCAGGTCAGGCAAACACACCCTTTTGTGATGGGGTTTAGTTTTTTTTAAGTATTCTCCGGCTACGTCTGAGTTAGAGCATTCAAATAGATAAAGACTAACCAAAAACTTTGTTATTGTCTAAAGTCACCAATTGAATACCTTCTACAGAAAACATATGAAGAGTTCATTTGCAAAAACAGATAACTTCACAAACCTTCAGAAAACCCACTTTTCCATCGTCTGCCTGAGACAATATCAAACTTAAGTTATCTCTATTTTTCTCATGTCATTTCTACTGAGCCAAATCCACTCAACTTTAGTTTGATTGATATTATCTCAAGCAAACAACAAAAATAACAAGTTTTCTGAAAATCTACAAAAATGCAGTTATCTGTTTTTGCAACTCTTGATATAAATATTGATGGAACTTTTATTCCTATTATTTAGGAGCAACAACGGTTTTTGCTGTTTGCTTACGTTAAGTTTGAATTTCCACCTTGTATCCACACACGCACACACTAGTCCAAAGTGCAGTAGCTCTACGAGGCTGTTTGCCTGAAGTGATAGCAAAGACAGACACAAGCTACAGTGTACAGAAGGTGTTTATGATTAACTAGCAATTGCGTTGTCTTTCGGTAATTACTGACACAATGCGGACTGTGTGGTTAACCATGTCAGCGCCTCACCCGACTGGTTCTCTGCACAACAAGTGATGCAGACGAGAATTTAAATTTCGTCTCATTCTCTGATGTTCCTTGATTGTTCCAGCTGAGAAGCTGTTTGCATTCCTAAAGGCAAAACCTGTGAAAGAGACACCACAGTCTTGTCAGTCTCCTGTAGACTCTCTATGTGTTTGCTTTTTCAGTCGAACAACACAGCTGCAGAGGTGCATTATCTTAACACGTGTAATCTTGACATCCTCCAGCAGTTGTGAAATCAGAAAACAAAGTTCTGTCAGTGCCTTTTTTGTCAAAAGTGATGCATTAAGTGCCTAAACAGCATTAATACAAAAGTGTAGGGTAACAGTGATATGTTCTCAATATCTATGATTGTGGCTCCAATTCTGTAATACATCAGGCTGCTGTAAAAATCAGAAATGAATACAGTAAGTAAGAATGCAATCTCATTATGTAGCCTTCATAGAGCCAACCATGTAGAATTAGAAAGCACAACCAAATCAGAGCAGTCATTAAGACCTATAGTTAAGGCCACTGGAGGACATGGTTGTGAAATAATCCTCACTGGCCGCAAATACACACATGTACATCCACTTTACTGTTAGAAATGTGAAGTATTTCCACCCTTTGTTGAGGGACAATCATGCTTATTTGTCAGGTATTTGGCTTTGATTTCAGCCAGGATACTAAAACTTCATTCCAGTCATGTGTTTATGTGTGTGGACTTGCACAACGATAGCTTAAAACGGTTGCATTTGACAAGGGATTTTTGCCACCCAGATAGAGCTTTACACCAAACCGGCCATTTTTGCCAGTGATCTGGAAAAAAAAAGAGCAGGCCAGCTCTTCTGCAACTAATCAGGTTTGTCGTACTTTAAACCCATGCAGTAGCATGGATTAACAGTGTATTACCCATCTGGAACACTTTCCTTTCATAGTAGAGGCAGAAAACTCCAGATAGAGAAAGACAATATTTGGATTGGGAGTCGATCGCCATCACATGCGACCGTGCAGTATTACCCCTAATACTCCCCGTATAGCTGAGATATTTTTCTCCATAATGATTTGCTTGAACAAAGGTATTCAGAGATAATCAAAAAAGCCTCCAAAACCAACAAGCTGAGGATGTTTCACTCCTGCAGAATGAGGACAGCCAGTGGGGGAGGCTCTGTGGTTGATCTGTAGTTGATCTCTCCTCCAGACAGATGCCAGAAGTGTTTGTGTGCATACGTGTGTGTGTGCTTTTGAGAATGTGCCGTATTTACATAAGGACTGCAGGAACTGAGGTTTGCTTCCCAGTTCTCTGATGATATTTTCATATCTTTGCTTCCCCTCTTTTCTTCCCTCTGTTTAACTGCTTTGCCTACAGTGCGCTGGGGCAGCAGCCAGTCGCTCGGCGAGCTCCCTGCTGTAGGCTGACTGAAGATATCCCCTTACACATGTGGGGCTCTGGGGCCACAGTAACCCTTTTGGAGCACAGGCTTGCGTGGAGGAAAACAGAGAGAAGAGAGGAGGGAAGTTGGATGATGATGGTGGTGGGGGAGACATGTAGCTAGAGGCAAGCCAAGAAAAGCTTTTTATAAATACATATATAACACATTTTATACACAGTGGGGGATCAGTGAACGTTATATGAAGATTAAGAAGAAAAGAACAAAGACACCAGTGAGGAGAAAAATAATGCTAATAATAATACTGGGAATATTATTAATAATAGCTATTCACAACACATGTACAGTATGCAGTTGCAAAGAATGTGCTGCACATTATTGAAAAGATAAAAACGTATGTTAGCACTTCTTTTAAAAGGAATAAAAGACAGGCCGTGTTGGAAAGAACATTCAAGTACTGTACTGACTGAATTGGAGGTGCTTGTACTTTACTTTTCCATTTCATTCTATGGACAAGTGGCAAAATGAAAGGAAAAACCCTGAACCTGACACTGTTATGCTGTGGAGGGCATTTTGCTGGCACGGTTTGTTTCCATTTGTCCTCTTTAAAAGGAAAGTCGCTCCAAATCAATACAAAGTTGTTCTGAGTGATCAACTTTTGACCTGACGGGCATAATCTCCTCCAGGGTTCCCTCATCCATAGGTCACAAAGGGTCACTGAATACTTTGATGAGCGTAAAAACGATGTGAATCATATGCTGTGGCCTTTGCAGTCCCAGCTGACCATCTGTGGGAGATTTTAGACCAATGTGCCAGACAGCTCTCTCTTCCGCCATCATCAAACCGCCAAATAAGAGAATGATGTTCATCCCTCCAGTAGCAATTTAGTGATGTGTAGAATCAATACCAAGTTGCAGTGAAGCTGTCCTGGTTACTCAAGACCTCACTAGGACACTTTGTTGTTTTACGCAGCCACATTATCAAGCAGCTTCAGTTGCTTTGCAGATTAAGATCTTATCTAACTATAAATATATTCCTATAAACATGAAATACATGAAACATTAGATAACAGAAGACAATAAAACATGATGAAA